ATCCCATCATGGAACTGGAATGTTGATTAGATCTCCTCCAATTTTTGTCATATTTTCTACCACGGAACAACATTTTTACGTAAATCGTGATCTATTAGCCTGTAGATGAATCATTACAAACAAGTGGGTAGCATGTTTGCGTTCTGTCTGTGATGTCCCGGGTTCAAGCCCCAGCCTGGGTCGATGGATTCGCACTGTTAATGAAGCCCTACCAGGTCAAAACAGCTGTCCGGTACTTCCTAGCTTTTCGGTTTACGCTTCATTTACACAACGAATTTCCCCTTTAAAATACTTACGAAGGGAAAAATAAAATCACCAAATGACTTGCAGAAGTGTTTCTGAAAGCTGAACACCAGTTGATTCAAGTTTATGACAAAAATCAGTATAATTTTCTCTGTGGCAATTGATTAATAACTAACTAATCGTTTGAAGGAAGTAATTGCCATTAATTTGAACATGATTGTGACAAAGCAAACCAGTAGTTCCGAATCAATATATCGTTCGCATTACTGTGTGCCTTGAGAAAAAAATTAAGAGGCATTCTTTTAACCTGAGACCACAACTAAGCTTAGCTTATGGAGTCTATGAATTAGTAGCAAAATAATTATAAGTACAGCGAGGGTTTTGATAACTGTCACTCGAAAAATGCATTCGCGGAAGTCATATTTTTCACATATCAGCTCGCTTGAGCTTGCTGATAGAAAACGGTTGGATCAAAATAAATATTACTTTTTCACATTTCTGCAGTTTCTAGAGGGGTCGATCTCAATGTCAAATTCGCTTTATTAACGCGCAGCAGCTGCGATTTTATTTTATTCAGAAACTTTTCCCTCTGTCAGAAACAGGGATAAGTCAGCTGCCTTGCCGCAGGTCGCCGGTGTTAAGGGTGTGCGGTGTATTAGAGGAAACTTGCAAATTCTTTTTGGCAGTCAACTTGGTGAATTCCATCCTAAAGCGACTGCCTCCAATGCACAGAAATTAAGAGAAGCAAATGGAAAGTGGACGAGATGAAAGTGCAATACCTGTTTTACGTGTATGAGTCATATTAATAATTAAATTACAGTCACTTTTCTACTGTGACCTTGTTATCTTACAACTGATGCATTAACAAAAATTGTTGTGATCACGAAATTGTACATTTTAATGGCATGTGGCTAATAGAAGCAGTGAAACAAGTGGATATTTATCAGATATGTTGCGTTCGATGTGGGGCAATATCATATGCAATCCCGTGAATGAGGCTGGAAGAACGGAGCATTTATAGGAACAAATGTGATGAAAATCAGGATGTTGCACGAGTTTGGTCAATACCTGTATTTATATATATTTATATATATGTATAAATATGTATATATATATATATGTAAATCACTGCCTTGCTAAAAAACACGTGGCCAACACTGCAAAAATTTTGGTTGTTTCCATTGATGGTTTTTGAAATGTTCATGTGTTTGGCTTTTCATGGGTGCCGGATGTTCGACAGACAGACCATACAACATTCAAAATCATATATGTCAGGTTTTTTTCATGAGCGACAATTCCCAACTTCACCTTGTGTGCTTCATCCACATTAGATCCTCAAGTGTTTTTTTAATTTTGTCTGTTCGATAAGAATTTTCGGCTTGCAGTTTTACAAACCCTGAGCTACCCTCACCACCAACGGGTGGATCTCATCCAGGGAGATAAAATTAGTGGAAACCGCTGACGAGTCTTAAAAAAGAGACAAAACACCTAATTAACAAACAACCCCAGTCCAAATACAGCATATTCAGAGAGTAGAGAATTGTCACCCATCTCCTGGAAGTGATATAAAAACAGTAAGATTAATACACGCACCGCCGTGACTGTACATTTGTATGCACTAGCGGAAGATTCTGTTTACTTCCTTCCTTCATTTTTACTATTTACGGTACAGGTGCAAGGCATTTCTTATTTGCTGAACCAGGCATATNCTTACGAACTCTCGTGCCGAATAAATCGCACGGAGTTCAGCTGACTAACGGGATAGTCAGAACAGTTGAAGACTGGTGAATGAAAAGCACGGGGTTGTTTCATGTGCGAGCATCGTGTCTCATTGTGAACGTGTGACCTACATAGGCCGCAAGAGCATTGCTGATTTTCTGTTATTAAGTTCGAATCCGATTCTTCATTAAGTTATCAAGGACAGTGAAATAACATTCAGCCGAATGATAATGGATGAAAGAATAAAGAACACGTTGGGCGGAAGTGAACTAGAGTACATTTCAAAACACCATTCGAGTACGTGGTTTCTTGAGGTAATTTGAAAAACTTTAACAAGTTTCATTTCATAGACCTAAACGTCTGTTCCTCACTTCTTAAGCCACGTCACACAAGTGCATACTAATGCATCAGTATCTCCGAGACAAGTGAAAGTCTATGTTAAAAGTTTAGTCAAAATCTGTTTTTTTTTCATACTTCTGGGTTTGCCCTACCCAACAGTTTCCCGTAGTGCTCTGCAGTTGTGAATTACTAATTGTAATTGTATGAATGAAAAAGATCATTCGACTTGGGTCTTTTAGTTAATGCCTACTTCGGGTTCTCAGAGCTACTGATGCTCCTGTATACCAATTTACGGTGCTAAGTGATAAACCTGACTCAATATGTGTTGGATAGAATCAGAAAGAGCAAGACAGCAGACACATTCTGTCAATCCCGGAGAGAATGGATGAAAATAAAAGCGTTCTTAGGCACAATGCGATACAATGGATCGATGGGGTCGCACCAGCACAGACAACCTTTTAGATCACCCATCCATATTCATTTCCTCAACTCAACTGATTAAAAACTATCTGAGAAAACAAAATAGATCAAAATCATTTACTTCTTTTGTTCAAAGAATTTCATGCTGTACGACAATTCATTAAATATTGATAGTTAAGCGCAAATATAGAAAATAGATAACTGTTTTTTTCACCGTTGATAAATATGTACACTGAAATCAGTAGCTGAGTGGTTGGAGGCGGAGGTTGATGAGGTATTGTAGGGAGGATTGCCGTGCTACTTTGTGGTGGTATACGCAGCTGTGTGGGACGATGGAGCATGAGAGGGGGAAGGGGCGTTGGGGACAGGGTTGACACGTTCCGGTCCCAGAACATGTACACTGAGTACGTGTGCGTTTCCCACAAAGCGAATGAGTATTTGTGTGTGTGAGCGCGCGTGCGGGATTTGGTTAGTGATAATACAGAAGCAAAACTTCATTGTTCACCAGCAGAGTTGTTCCAAACTGACGCCGTCCGGTATACATACTTTTTGTGTCATAAGCCACGTCCACTGTGGGAGAATTTAGGTCGTGAAATATTGGCCCAAACGATACCATGGTGTTTAAGGTCTGAAAGCTCACCACAAAATAGACTCTGTCCCCATCGGCTGTGTAGTCTCGATACAGGGCTAAAAGATCTTCGTTTTGACGACCTTGGATAATTACCAGATGACCGGCGTTGACTGCCGTGCCTAGCAAGCTGAGTCCGGACGCGGCTTGCCAATACGTGGTCCAGCTTTGTAAACGAGTCCGACCTTCCTGTGTGAGTTGATTATTCTTTGGCCAATACGTTTCATAACTTGTGTACTTCCCCCAACCCCAGTGAATCAGTTCCGTTGTACCTGTGACCTGTGAGATTGAGACCGATCAAGCGAGAGAGAGATATTTCAAATAGATGGAGCTGCACTTTGAAGGGGAATTAAAACTATAAGACTTAAAAAATACTTTTACGCATATATCAACTCACTTTCTCTTTTTTGTACTTTTTCTCTATATCACTGTGCTGTGTTGACTATCTTACCGTCATTTTCCGTTAAAAATTGATCATTTGTTGCAATTTTGAGGAAACGGTGACGATTCGATCAGTTTTCTATGAACAGCTAAACCACTGTAAATGATTGGACATATACAGTGTCCTTCTTACCCGGAAGAAGAACAGGTGTGCTCAAGACGCCAAAATGAAACATTTGCAAGACACGAGATAATTGATCCAATCAAAAGAATATCACAGAACTAATCTGTTACTTGATACGCCGAAACGTCAACTAGGCCCGGTCCTTTTAAAGAGCTCTATCCCAGTCGATCAGACAATCTTTCATCACCGAATGCGCAACACATTTGAACACTCAGATGCAATCCATAATACATATTCATTTAAACTTCAGTCCATGTCTCTTATCTTGTTGCGTTTATTGTTCGGTCGGTAGACTCGAAGATACCTTACTTTACCCAATAAAGCATGTATTGAGTTTACAGAATAGAACAATTAAGATTTGAATCAAATTTGTGTGCATAGGGTACCAGATTCATTGTAATTAAGCAAGAGTGAAACATATGCATATTCCTACGCTGCTATCTTCTCAGGTTAGTGGTGGATGGAGTGGACCAGACTGTTGCTTTGCGATTTAAGAGGACGGACACGTGAGTGGACTACTAGTCGATATTTGTCCAATACAATTCGAAGAGAACCGTCTGCCTACCTCTGTCATCAAATCTGGCGCCCGCCCAATTGCAGCCATCTGGTAAAACTGATTGGATTTCATCTCAGTGACGTGAACCAGGCTTTTCACAATTTGAAAGCGATAACACGCCTCCGTCACGGCTGTTGAATAGTCTGGACTGGTCCGGATGGGTTTAATTTAATAATGTCTGTGAATGCGACACTGAAAACAATAAATGATTTGGGAAGTTTTTTCAATGTGCCCCAATACATTCACTCACTATGAACTTAAAGGTGGCTGGCTGTGTCGATTCCTTTTGTGCTTAACCCTTCATTTCCAAGCAGAAAGCTTGTTGATAAGGTCTCAACCGCAGACTGCTTTAATGTGGGAGGCATCTAGAAATAAATTTTAAATACGGATAAACTGACTCGGATATGTATGCGCTTTCTCATATGTACGCTTGTGAAAGTTAGAAGAAGAGTTAATCCCTAAAGCATCGAAGGAACATTAGTGGTCTTATTTACTAGGCTCGTACGTTCACACCAGTGTAATGATATGTTGTCTTTTGATTCAGTATGTCCGACATTGAAGAACAAAACGCCTTTTGAAAACAGCGACCGGAAACCTAATACCGGATTTGCCAAAGAGTCACATTCAAAAACAGCGCTGTATTCACATAGCTTTGCCACAGAAACTCCAATGATTTTTCGTTCAGGCAAGAAAGCATTTATCTAATCGTGGGGCAAATTGACAACGTTAACTTTAGTTGAACATGCGGGGTCCCTGGACCAATTGGTGACAAAATACCGCTTAAAATAGAATGAGATTCGCAAGAGAATGGAATAACCAGAGAGAGCGTTATTGTGGCTGAATGTTTCACAAATAAAGATATGTTTTAAGTGGGAAGCAAAAATGAAACAGAAAAATCGCCATCTGACAAACTGGTAACGGGTTACTGATTTTCGTTCCAACTTTTCGTGTAATTTGTGTACTCCGGTCTGCTTATTAAATCCACTTGATTTGCACAATGAATCAATGATCCTGGAAGTTCATAGTACCTGAAAAACGCTTTCTACAGTGTTGGCCTGAGCTGAACGCTCTTCTTTATTGAATGGAATTTGTTTGTACTCTCAAAATTAACCTAGTGACCTTGACGAAGTTCTTCTTAAAGGGGACAAGACCTCATCCGAGTGCACTGCCTCTTCTTAGATACTATCCAAAATGAACGGAGTGAGGGTTACCAAGCTACATTAATCCCGTGATAAATTTGAGTAGGCAAACTTGTAGGCAATCAGTGTTAGACGTAGTCCTTTTATTCGTACAAACTGATACTTCAGTGAAAGTACGTCGGTACACGTATGCCCATTTTACTATAGAGCAGTGGTATATAGATCAACAGCCCAGAATCTTGGGCATTGTTTCGTCAAACCCATTCACTGTCATCCTTCATTCTCACCTTTGACAATCCACGACATCCTCCACTTCTAACAGTATATGCTGGTGATTATCACACTGATTTAAGCGAAACATGTTTTTCTCATTCAATTTAGTATACACTTTTATAACTGGATGGGGCAATAATGTAACTCGTGAAAGCGCTACCATAAAATTATGTTCCAATATGTAAACGAATTTGCATCGTACTCTTCAAAACAAAGGGCGCAGCACACAATCACAACTTCAAAACCTGTAAGGGTTTCATCTACGACCATGCAAAATTATATAGCGAATTTGTGCAAATGAAGAAATCTCGAGATATTATTTCGCGTATGATTGGAACACATGAAGGGGTAAATGAACCACCATTTGCAAGTTTTCTTCAACATATGTAATCAAGACACCTGGAGCAGTGTGCGTAAATATGAACAGGACACGCGAACCAACTTACCAAGCATGATTACTATCTATTCTCTAAGCCACTAATCGGGATCAAAACGAAACAGGTTAGGCGATTTAAACTGTCAATTGATATCAAACATTATTGATTGAAAAATTCTAGTCACATGGACCAGTCACAGTTGGTGTCTGCATCATACAATATGAAGCCCGTTTTGAGAGATTTATCTCAGATTGTCGTCTATTGCTCTTCAGGATCAATTGAACAGAAAACTTCCATTCATCCATAATCGAACAGATCATTATTGATGCGGATAGAGTAGGCTGTCTTGTATGCATTGAGTGCTTTATTCTCCCTGTCTTCCGTCGTACTTGCCTCTTTATATTTTTAACCAAAAACGATTTCCCGGTGAAGTAATTCAAAATATTTGTATATGGTAGCTTACTCTCTGATTTTAATCTATTCCCTACCTGTCTGGCAATAATTTCATCTGACATTTTGTATCGTCCTACAACTATGCTGTGGTTATTTTCGAGTCTTACTATGCATTGAACAGAACAAATACATACCCAGACAAGCACACACACACACGCTGTTCGAGAAACCGGAATAGTTGGACAAACAAAATTGCTCTACTTACAAGATAAACGTGTACACAAGCATTTGTATTACATCGACCCCCTTAAAGATCGATTTATCAATCACCTGACTTGACTCAAATACAGATCGAAATCATCTAAATTATTAATGTCATAAACTATGTATGGTGATAATCGTTGGGATAATCCCTATGTCATACTGGTTGTGCATGTGCAACTTTTGGAATCTTATATGCTAACATTCCAGGCAAAAATGTGCACATTGGTGGTCACACTGAATAAAATATATACATTCAGCAAACATGTCATCAAAATTCAGTTCATACACATACAAACGATGACCCGATTCAGTTATTTCCTGTTCTTTATTGATAAAGAATTGGGCCACGTAGGTAATATCTATAAGAGAAGATAAATGCCAAAAGATGGAGCGCGTGGACGGATAGAAACGACTAGAAGATAAATCAAGGTGCAGGGCATGAGGAGCGTCGTGTAGAATCCCTTTGTGAACTTGGTACAGGAGTTTATGTGGCCATCCAAATGCAATTCAACGGATACCTCAGACTGCCGTCAAACTTCCCGTGTATAGCGGATTTCACGTGTATAATAATTTTTCTCAAGCGAAGAAATCTGACTACTCTTCAAGCTATACCGGTAACCGTGTTGTATCAGCTTCTACAAGCGAAAATAGCGAACCTATTGATAGAAAGTTCGAACTACTGATAGCCCAGTAGTATGTACTGCATCTGCATTTGTGTATATGTGTGAGGAGGTTCCGTTATTCAATGCTGCGGCACTGTTCCTTACCCACATAGTATCCATTTCAATATAAACAGGAGGATCACGTGATGCAAGAGATGTATTTTACACAAAGACAAAATGATTTTATTGGAGGCGGTTTAATCAAATGAGTCCGTTAGATAAATTCAGCGCGAAACGATATATTCAGCACATTTTAATTATCGATTGTGAATACAGTGATCGGCGTGGGCGTTCCCTATAGCTTCGTTTCGATCGACGAGGTCACGGTTTGGATGATTTGACTGCATCTAGACTTGTGCGGTTCTTTCCGTAGNTCGGTCGATACAATTGAATATGTTTATTTGACAGAAATGAATCAACTTCGTTTTTAACAAGCAAACATGTCAAATGAATCTCTCTCCCTATCACATTTATCATAACCAAAATATAAAAAAGCATTCATATTTCATTTTCTCGATACTAAGCAGTGTGAAACAAAAACTTTAGTAGATAAACGTTTCACACTTGTGATTTTGAGAAGTTAGATAATTGTGAGGTCAAAANGATTCCACATATAAACCACAATATAAATTATCCGCTCGGTTGGGCCTAATCATTGTGGCCACCACAAACGATATCCTAGACCAAGTGATAGGATATTACCTCAGGTGTAGAGCTTGGCATAGACATAGTCAACCAATATGGATAGCAAGGAACATTTAATCATGATCAACATCGGTGGCCGGAAACAAATGAGTTATTTGATAATGAGTGATAACAATCATTCTGAACACTTTGAAACCGAATATCCGGTTACATAAAATATCTAATTCAAAAAGGCCACTTGCGTTTTTGTATATTATGTTATATATACATGTGATATTATTATTAAGGAAGAGAAATAACAAGTACTGGCCAGCGAAATATCATGCATTGAAAATTGAATGTCGCCTCCTAAGGAGTGAATAGTGTATTAGGAAATACTACCTAAACCATCTCACTCATAAGCTATAAGCAACCACGTCATAATTCACGTTACAGAATGTTAACTCATAACAGAGTTATCATGTGTGGGGTTTTTTCAAATGCCATGGAAAATCGATCAGTGCTTATAAGTGGCAAAAGTCGAGGATCGAACTATTCAAACATAGTTGTGAACGCGAAGAGATCACCCTTGTTTGACGTTTGCTATGAATGAATAAACAAAAGTATCGTTATCGAAAATCATGCTTGAAGTTCATGGCCGACTAAGTTTGAATAAATATCGGAACATCTTAATTCCAACACTAACAAATGAATGTGGCCACAGCTTTTAGGTAATCCAGCATCTAATACCATTGTGAAAATGACCTACGGTATGCGTTGCGCTTTGCACATTACTTTGAATGAAAAATGAGAAGCACTATGAAACTGTCTTTTGCAAATTGTTAGACCCTATCCGCAGTATAAATTTAATGGCTCCACTGAGGATGGAACCAGAAGCCTCCCCCCCNAGAACGAAAGCCAGTAGACAAGTCACAACTGGAAAAAAGATGAAACTTTTTCTGCAACCAAGAGTACCTTGCATTTTTGGTTATAAATTTGCATAATAGAGTTATTCCAATGGTCCTACGACATTATTTAAATTTTTATTTTTATTTATCTGTTCCATCACAACGCTTTTAGGCGTACTTATAATTTTCACGACACAATAGCACTGACCTTTTTTGAATAACGCCAGATAGCACACTCATTAGTTTCTTTTCCAGTGGACACATCTCCGTGACCATCACTGATGAAGGTTCTGTCATTCACCACAAATAATACCAAACAGAATCTTAACGAGCTATCGATAATAGGTGGCGAATTGGATCCCGTTCCATTTTGCCATGTTAAACGGTTTTAAGGGATATTAGAATTTTAAAATGGGCGCCAAGGATTTCCCAATAAGGTGGTCAGTGAACCAGATTAAAAGGAACACAGGATGTTGGATACCACCTCGGATAAATGCTGTTGATGGCATTGTGGCGCTCAGGTGCAGTACACGGCCGTGAATTTGAGTGACAACGTCCATCAATTAGGTAATTCCAGCATGGTTGTAAGATTTTCTACCCTCAACGTTGGGATACAGGTAAACACAGGTACAATCGTTCAATACGCTTGATGTCTGACGCCATAGAAAATGTGTTCATTCTACGTACGCATCGTTTAAATATAGATTAATCGATATCTCGTGTTGTAGAAGAACCATCCGGTTGTCTGATGCCACCGAGAATACTAAACAGTCGGTATGCACTGTGCTTACTCATAAGTAGTTAAGTTGCAAGTCCAATTTTTTTCCCAACTGGTTGTGAGCTATGGAACACCGATGATGTGCTATCGACCATCGCTGATGGTATTGCCCCATTCCTGATAAGGAATTGTATTATAGATTGCTGTCACCAGTTTCCGTTTTGCTTATAGCGTGCAGTATTCGTGAGGGTCTGACTAAATGCACACTTCCATCAAACATGGGACCAATTGTCTCAAGATGCACCAACTGAAGAGAACCGAATGCTTTCATTCAACAAAAGACAAACTCATAGGTCGGTGGAATGCGTGCAAAAATCGTCGTGCATGTTCTACTAACTAACCAGATCAACTTCTTGTCCAGCAACCATTAAGAAGCTGCCAGGTAAAAAGTAGGCCAAGCGCTGAACCGTCTCAAAATCCTTGATATCGTCCAAAAGAATCTTCACTTGCCAGATCGGACTGCAGGTGGAGAACTGTGTATTGTTCATAACTGGAAAAAGATCGGCGGGAAACGGAAAAATAATGGTACACTCTACCGATTCATGGATTCGTGTGGATTGTGAATAAGTCCACCGCACTCGAAATATGAGAATAGTAACAAGTGGTAAAAAGATGAGAGTGCATCAAGGCAGAACACTCCGCGGATTGTGTTTTATATATTTACTTGAGCTGACACATCATTAGATGAATTTGTTTTAATTCCTCTCCGTGAATTTCGCAACAAGATTAGTTACTCACTAATATATTTCCATGTTCCTTCATGTGGTCTGATTACAATCACGTTTTCAAGTGTGGAATAATTAATCATCGTGTCCCCATCAAATTGTTGTTATTAGTATTATTTTTTATTGATTATTACTATTATTGTATTGTCTAACGGCACGCAACCTGAAAAGAACATAAAATATTAAAAACGTGAGTTGATAAACAAACGCAACTGTGTCAGTTGTTAAAAGCTTCCTGCTCACATACTACATCATGGTCGGAATATGAAGCATGGTTAGAAAAATAAATCCCATTTGTATAAACAATCAGACAAATAGCTTATAAAGTTTTCAAGTAAACCGTGATTCCATTTTGTCCTTTCACTCATTTCCCCGTGCACGGGGAATGTATCGTCTACAATTTTTGAGAGAAATATCAATCAAAAGTGATGCGTTACTGAGTATTAGTGACTGAAAATATCATATACTGATGTTATTACAACAACTAACCAACTTTGCCGATTGACTAACGCTCGTGAGAGCCGGATATAAAATGCACTGCTACTCCGAAGCTCGCACGGGGAAAATATTATATAATTATCATCATTCCTCTCAATGTGCGTTCCACCATTTCTTTCACAGAGCAAACTGTGCAGAAGAGAGCTTTCTGTAGTTTTTGAAAAGTGGATGACGGAGTTGTTCGATTCCGGTATTACATAATAAGTTGAAGACAAAAATCGAGTAGATCAAACCTTTCGTCGTTTTTCATCAGTTTACCGATCGGAAAATTACCCATCGATACATGGGGCTCATTTTGAGCTCAATGCAGATGAAATTATGTCTGAAAACTGATTTCTGCTGTTGTTTTTCAGATAACAAGCACAAAACTTTATCAACATGGTTGAACAAGATAGAATACCCCACAGAATGGAATTATTTCCAGGTTTTCTACATATAACTCCTTCAATAAAGAAGCCAAGTATTATTTTATCACCTCGAAGCACATCTTTTTACGGTACTGTCATCGTGAGATCGGAAAACGTATTTGAAAACAGTTCGATTGTATGAAATGGCTTGCATTCGGTATCTAGAGAAGCTGCGAATTGTGAAACACGGCATTCCTAGATATTGCGGTGCAAAAGTTGGAACGGTTTACGGTCAGTTCATTGTTCTTCTGTATATGACTGACAATCACCCACTAATGATAATATAGACCAGTTGCAGAAACACTGTGTGATGAACAGATGGAGAGGCGAACCGTACAGGCCATAGTTATGGAAACTGGCGGTTGCAGATATTGTAGATGATTAACGCCGTCAATGCATATTTGAAGGTTACTGATGGGTTCTGATAAAAGAAGGATATTATGTAACTTTAAACCGGTGACAATGAGCTCCTAATTCCCTGTTAAGGTCTGGGGTGAGTGTTTCGTTTAACAGGTTTGCCCGTCTGTGACTTTCTCAAAGAGTCTCAGAATAACCTGCAATCGCAGTATCTGCTCGGGAACTGCTACTCACTGTCTTCTCTCTAGTTGTGTATTTGCACTGGGATGAGAGTGAATGAAAGAGTTGAAGAGCTATTGTTCGTTCAGATAGTACGGAAAGCATAGATTCCCAACCACGAATGACGAAGTGCGTGAACAATTCCCAAGTCTACTAGATATATGGTCACCGGTTTGACTGGATAGAGGAGCCTAGTGGGCACCCGAAACTTAGGTGTATTAGACCCCATTTTTTAATTCCTTATACCGGCTGTTATCCCTTTTCACCGGTCATCCCATTTTGTTAAGACCAATCAGATACTGGAAGCACTGTGAACAATCAAATAAACATCATCCTAAAACGCGGTAACTCGACCACGCTGCTTATCATAATACAGAACAATTAGGCTGTTTCGACCTGCCCTCATGCAACTGTAATCTATAAAATAATCCCTCCTCTATTGAATTAAAACAGTACATTTCAATGGCTGAAGGATTGCTTTATTGCTTTGTTTCCGATAAAGTTCTGCACGTAACGTTTTACCCGTCACAATCGAAGCCCCGTCTGGAAGAGTTATTATTCGATTGACTGGACACTGGTCTCCCAACGGATAGCGAACTAAAATCGCCACCTTACCGCCTTGTGGGTAAGGCTATTCAGTCAAAAACTCAAGCTGAATTCTCTCAAATGGGTAAGCTATTCTGGCGTGGTTGTTCATTTAGTACAATCTTCAAGGGATGGAAAAAACATGCCCCTCAAGGCGTCTGGAATTTGTCCATCCCTTCACGTTGTGTTGACACCATGGGTTTTCTCGGGTCGGTGAATTGAAATCAATGTCATGGATTTACAAAGAGCTGGTTATAAACAATTGGGGTTTCCATTTATTCAATTTCTGTATAGTTGGTGGCAGTTCTCCACAAAATTGTCATTCAAATATAATGAGGTATTTTTTTATATAATATCACCACAAAAAGACTTTGGGATAGTTTTGTGGCAGAAGTTTCTGGATTAGAGAGCTCTAGGTCGATGTTTATNTATGGTTTTAATCTAATCAGCGTCTGAAGCGTTACACAAATTTCCCCTGCTCAGACGATCGTTTTTGCAATTCTTGTTCATTATAATCATTCATATACAGGCGTCTCTGTGAGATCAATTGAGTGTAGACAGTGTACTGTGATTCATGTTCACCTATAGAAATCACTCGGTAGAGCTTCAGCGGACAATCTTAACTGATCTGAACAACTAAATAGGATTATCAGCTTTCAGTTATGCTCATACTAATATTTTTGGTAAAATACATTTCTTTCTCAAACATCTGTCACTGTCAGCTATGGTGCAATCCTATCTGCTGTCGGTGACGAGTCGACTGGAAATTTCAATCCATTTATCAAACTTTGTATGGATCGATCAATGTCTAGTGTGTTGGTTGACCTTAGTATGCAAATCACGTTTGAAGTGTTCTGTATTGTTTGTAATTGTTTCAGTACAAAGGTAATGAATGACACAAGGTGACTAGGCAACTATTTGACTAGTTAACTAGTTGAAAATTATATGACGTTTACGAACGAAATCGGATATCAGAAAAGAGTATAAAACTAGAAATTTAAACATGAAAATAAATTCCAAACATGGGTGACTCACTGCATTATATTTGTGAATGAATAATACACTGGAAAAGTGATACAACCAGTTTATGAATCGAGAGATCGATAGCTTTTCCTGAGCAGTTCACATTTGGAATATGGGGGATTCTTCAATAAACTAAAGGCCAATAATACAGCTCATTTTCATTGTCCAACAGACCTTCCCATAGTGCTTTACCCACGGAACTCCAGTCTATTGATCATAAAATCCAATGGAAACCAGAACCGCGTCCATTTGACTAGTACCACCAAACCAGATATTTCACTGTCTTCCAACCTAGTGTATACATCCCAGCGACTAGAAGATTATTCGAAACTACACTTCGTGGCATGACTGTTCCTAATCAAAACACCGCCCAAAACCGCGTTGCATTTAAGTCCATGACTGAGTGAGCCAGGTGGACTTCTGTAAACCGGCCGAGATACCAACGAAACCCAAGGCATTCGAGAAGAGTCTAAGCTTAAAGGCCCACTTTGACCAATGAATACATGGCCATATCTGGAGGATTGGATTTCACCGTGTACAGAGCCTGAAATGAAAAACTAGGAAGCACTGGACAGTTTTTTTTATTTGACCTTGGTCTCATCAACAGTGCGAAATCATTTAGCCAATTCGAGCCCAAATCCGGGACTTCATTGGGTAGAACGCAAACATACTAACCACTGGACCATTGAGCTGCTGATTAGACCATTTTGCATGTTGTTTTACGCGAAATTATAAAACAACCCACCTTGGCGAGCCTCTGGCGGGCATCGCATCTCACTCATCCTCGCACTCTCCCCGGAATCGTGACTAGGTTGAAGACATTCCAAACGTGACCACCACAGTGGTACAGTGTTTCCTAGATTTTCAATTCACGCATCAATTTCCATTATACCTCCTATGTCTTAATCTTTGACCACCCGAGTGGAACGCTAATCTCTATGAGTTTTCAACATCTTAAGATAAATTTGTAAGGACTATTGAATTTTTCCTCATGAAGCATAAATAAATCCTTTCTATTGATACGCATACATTAAACAAAAGGTAAGATGAAACTCTATGTCGCAGCAAGGTGAAGCAGCTGAGATTGATCTATACAATTTGGGTGATATGACAGCCTTATTCCATAGACAATCAACTAGAAAAAACGAGTCACGGAGTTAAAAGGCTGATGGAACTTAACCAATTCATTCAGTGAAACATTTATCTGATCAACAGGTTTGCAGACAAATGCTGAATCGATAAAATTAGTGTACGGGTGATTACTACACTTTTAATTACCTCCAATTTTCATTACAATACTCTTTATTGTATACAAAATGGAAGCCTTATTATTATGTGAATTGGATTCATAGCGTTCCATAATATCAACACGTTCATGACAGAATTGGATCGAGTGAATACTTAAAGGAACAGTTTCTTCACATGTGTCCTTGAAATTTTATCATTTTGAAGCATATGACTTGCACTCTGTGATGTAAACAGTATCGACAAATACGAATTACGTATATCTATAGTTAACGATTTCACCAGTATCCCATCAATTTAACAGCTTGTGGTACGAGCATATGCAACCAGAAATGTAGAAAGGAGTGCAGTAGAACCATTCGCATCTGTCGATCACGTGACCCGCACACAGTATTTCATACACCAGGGGAGTTAGTATCTGTACAGTCGGCTTTTGGTGAAGCCGCAATTTCTCCTGAATATTTACTGATTTGAACTGACTATCCTTCGAACTTCACCTTCACGCGCAATCCTCAGTTCATCCATTCAACCATACACTAAGAAGCACTGGACTCGAGTTTCACTCTTATCAGAGCTTATCAGCAGTGAACATCCAACGACTCATTCCGGGTTTGAAATCCGGACCCATCGCATGGAAGGCATGTGCGTTACCACTGAGCCGAATAGCTCATACCATGGCTGAACCGAACTGCTAATTAATATTTGTTCAGGTGTCGTCTTCAGTGACAGTCAGTTATCCCGCACCAATACTCACAAGTAATTGTGAGTTAAATGCAAATTCTCTTGAATACACAAACAGGTGTTTGTTTATTATCTAATAGACATAGAAAGGGATCAGGCAAGTGAATTACTTATAATGTAGTGCCTTTATAACATTTTAATTGTGTCCTTTGGACACATTATGATATTTGCATCCCGTTTACCGAATTGTCGCCGTAAAACGACTATGTGAAAATGTATGGGTCTGACTAAACAGACATAACTTTGTAATTATTTCTCATCGGTACACGAAAGCGCATGGTTAATAGTTTTAAAAACTGACTGCTCAATTTAATACAAAGTAGAGACATCTTTCACGTCATTTATTGTATTTTCATCCCTCTCCTCCATCACAACAGAATTCTCACTGACGCGAACGGGCCTAAGCATGCAAGTGCGCAGTGTAGCATTTGTTACAGTCGATTTACTTAAGCTTCTAGATCTCCGTTTTCCCCTGCGATACCAAACAGGAGGTTACCACCACTGTCCACAGCCGAATGGATTATTTGCCAATGAGATATCTTGTTTTTTGTGACTGCACTCATACATTTTGATGATTTCGCTCTTCGGCATTTGGCAGACACTGACGCGTTTCTGCTCCGTCTCGCCGCCTTGTTACATTTTGGAACGTGAATCATGACAGAAAGAATGCATTTCAGAACCACAAAGTGGAAGAAAGAATGACTTCTGATACTTAGAGTGGCCAGCCACTTGACACTCCACTTGTAAAAGGCATATACTTGTTGCATACCACGTTGCGCTATCGTATGATGATGTACTAACTGCACCATACCACTGGCTTGCGTAACGATCGGAACAACCGTTAATACGTCTGAGTTCACCCATTAGGTGGCAATCTTTCACTTTGGATTATGTCAACAAATTCCTGCTTAGTCAAAATACGTTTCCTTAGGTAAAAAAAACTTCCCGTAGTTAACATTTTCTTGCGATTGTGCAAAGTGGTTTCCACCTTTCCCCGTATTCAAGTGCAACTGATGATTAATTCCGTGATCTCCTTCATACGCCTCCGTGCATGTGTATCTCACGAAGTCTCCATTCTTCACGTTCACAACATACGTGTCAAGGTCGTTGTGGTTTGGCAGATTACGGATGACAAACTATTTTCTTAAACTGTGAAACCATCAGTTCGCACTCACCCCTGGACACCAAATATCCTTTTATTCTACAACACACACTCTACCAGCTGAGTTACGTGACCATACCAATATCGTTCAGTTATCAATAAATGCTTCCAAAAAGAAATACTCCACGATTTTGTGCTTATTTTCCTTCACTATTAAATTCTAACGTGTTGTACCGAGTAACATAAACCGCGAGGGGCGATCCTGGCATTTGTACTACAGCAGTAATAGAATAACTCAGAAAATAGGTGATATATTGCAAGCATGCAAATTAGAATCTAAAATTTGATATCCTTTTCCGATTGCAAGCTCATACGGTGTAGTTGTCAACCGCTGAGTGTTGTGCCAGTTCCGTCCCTGTGTTTTTGTTCTATTGAACACCGATTTGTACTCCATTGTCTTCGGTGGGAACGCACAACAGCCATTGCGCATTTATTTGTTTCAGCAAGGAAAAATTTACAGTTGAACCGATTTGCGAGGACAGTCCAAAGATAAGGACGTTCATGTGCACAAATCTTAGAGCGTACTAAATGCACTAACGATCGAAATTTGGTCAGATAGACAAAACTGATATTTTTGACAGAGAAAGGAAATACGAGGAATATATGCTCAAAAACGTCGTATTTTATCATAAGCAATTAACAAAAAATAGCCCGTTTGTCTGAAATAAGACAAAATAAAACGCTAACGTCCCATGGGGTGAGCCTAAATACCTTCATCTGAAGCCTAGGCAAAGAGGTCATTTGGTCCTCACTGAATAATAAAGCTGTGGCATCCGAATTGAAATCGTTACGTAATGACAGATGATTCGTGTGGGCAAGACTTTGGAATTTACAATAATTTGTGTAAACGAGATGCCCATTTACTAGAAATATTAAGTAAAATCATTTCCCGTTTACATCAAGAATATGTCGGTTCGATGAGAATAAACCTCACAGACTGTAGGTGAATGAACAAGCAGCGACGTTTGCATTGCCCAAACGCTTGAGAAAAGATACCCCCAAGGTTTGGTGAACGCAATAATTTCTGCAACCGGGATGTATGAAACAGTGAGGCCAAATGAGTGAGACAACTTCAAGTTGCTTACGCTCGATTAGGACACTCATGTCTACGCTCAGCTTCGTGCACACATTTGTGTAGTCCGTCACCCCGTCTCGTTCCGAAAAGATAACCCCCAGGACACTACTGCTCACCGATGCTCCTGTTCATCGCTGTGGGTTGTGCAGGTAAGCCTAGCTTTAGCACACAACTACCATGGTGCACACGGCTCAACTAACCAGACATTGGTCGCGCAAACGTGCGCACCTAACACAATGAAGCGATCAGCCCAGAGTGACGATTTCGGCCACATGGAGAATAGTGATAAGCAGGTTGTACACCAAATATGAGGTGTACGGATCTGTGTATTGCATTTGCAAGGCGACAACATGTAGGCGAAGATACCCGGTATGATCCAAACAACGGGCGAAAGCATGTCTAAGGAAGTCACTGAGGCACTGGCGAAGTTCAACGGAGCATTATCAACAAACTCCGTGCATAGAATAACGGCTCAAGAGAGTCGACAACTATTCCATATTTTGTTATTGGTTTTCTCATCTCATTCTATTTCAATCTAACTATTAATTAACATTGATAACTGAGTTCACCTGATTCTGTCAAAGTACACCAACGGTAAGCATCGGAATAGAACACAGTTTATCTTATTTATTATGACTTGTCAATCCACTGATATATTCCATAATAATACTTTTTGTTAGCTACCTTATTTGCGCAAACCAGATGTGGAATTGGTCAGCCGTAAACTGATAACTGCGGTGAAGAATGTTTCATGTGACAAAAGTACGTGTCCCATTCATGCTCAGGTCGATCCTGCGTTCCTAACCCAGAGAGAAAGTTATGCAGCCTAATTTTGAGTGTACTTGTTTAAGTGTTCCCGTTCTGCAACGTAAATCGGCCGCAAGAGCAGGCACCTATCTGCATCGGGTAACTAAGGTCGTTTCACACCACGTTGAAACTGATCACAAAGAAAGCTTGAATGAAGCACTTGGTGTTCTCTATCGTTTTAGGGGCGGCCGATCTAAGCCGATCGAAAATCGAATTCTCACCAATGAGGAGATGGTAGAAATTCATCAAACGGTCTATTCTCCCTGTGCTCTCAAAAACAGTTTGTAAAATCATTCAGTCTCCCATGGCCCTCGGCCCACCGACCAACCCGCTCCAAATCGGGCTGGACCATGAAATAAGTGTATTGAATGAATCTGAGAGTAAGGTCATCCTCATCAGGTTTGAGAACCTGATTCGAACAATAGAAATATCCCCAGTTAGCTTTGGTTTTTATTGTTTCTCTTTTTCTATAGAAAATATTATGTATTGATTAGGTAACGAGTCACCGAAAACAAGCATTTTAACTAACTTGTGTTTCCCTTCAGAATAATGATTACTTCTGTATAAAGAGTCGCGCTGTGCCCTAAAGAACAGGTGTTGTGACGCTAAATGTGAAAGAGCTCATTCCGTCAACCCATCATCTATCAACAGTTGGCCGGAATTTGTATGCACGTCATGCATAACTCTGTCCTGGGCCGAAATTACCATAGCAAACATCGCCTAGTTTACCTTGTGTTATCTGCGCCACCAGATCATCTGTTCGAGTTGGCACGTGCCGATTGATCCGAATTTCGTGCAGACAAACCTTATTGCGTGGGTTGAGTTCTTGATCAATGGTTGGGCTGTCGGCAAACCACATAAATTGTTCTGTGAGCAAAGAGAACGATAAAAAGACAGAGAGAGAAGTGCGATGATTCAAACTTGGCGTTGGTGATGCCTCTAAGAGGACGACAGAATGCACAAAGAGAGTGAGAACAACAATATTACTTACCATCCGTGATGTTACCCAATATTTGACGCATTCCCGGCATCAATTCCGTAATCACATTTGTGGAATTTGTAATCATCACCCCTTTGATATTCAAATGTTTCACCCAGAATTGTATGACTTTTATCAATTCGTTTTGTACCTGGAATAAAGCAAAAGCAAAAACGCGAGCTCTAATATGGAGTTTCACCGTGTGTGAATTAGGTTCTGGACAGTAGTTTGTGTATCAAGATGAATCATGTCGTTAAGTTTGTTCAAAGTTCTACAATGAACAATAGACGGGTAAACCTCGTAATCACCCCCTGTTCGCTCAGAACAATCGACAAACTAAGCTGTGATACTGGAATTCACGAGCACCTCGGGCCCGAGTAAGATAAGCGCTGTTTTGAGCCAGACACACAGTTAAGCTATCTAGTACGAGAGATAGTTTCCGACACTAGGGTTCGAACTTCAGCAGACCTTCAGACCAAAACAACGCTAGTTGCAGTGACTTAAACTGTTTGGCAAACAAATACTATCTTTCTGTGTGCTTTTTCACATGCTTGAAGAACAACGGAACGTGGAAAATTGCACTCACATCTGTGTTGGTCAAGTTGAGAAGCGGACTGTTCGGGTTGCCATGCATGTGCCGATAGTATGCTTTCCGTGTGCTGTCATATGCATAGAATCTCTGCTCGTAGGCTGTGGCCGGCTGCATAGAAAGATGGGATAGAATGAGAGAGAGTGAATGAAAGTAATCAGCATGACAATGTTTCAGGGAGAAAGTGACAGAAGAACATCTCTAAATTATGGTTTCGGAGGAATTGGAGCTTGTATTTTACAAAAACGTAGATTCAGTGACTCTGAAAGACGATTGAAGCAAATTCTCACTGCCATGAGAGCTCTCGCTACTGTGATGGACCTAGGTCTCTATTCATCTATGATTATGCTCCCAGATAGATGGTCAGCAAGTTAAACTGGAGACCATATGCCTGGTTCAGCAAATAAGAAATGCCTTGCACCTGTACCGTAAATA